TTGGCTTTACTCAATCTAAGGCAAACACATCTCTTTTTCTATACCACAAGGGCAGTTCCTTCATGGCATTACTTGTGTATGTGGATGATGTTATTATTGCTAGCAATGACAGTCATCATACTACTGCTCTCAAAGCATACTTGGATGCCTATTTTCACATTAAAGATCTTGGTGCTCTCAAGTACTTTCTTGGTTTGGAGGTAGCTCGATTCCCTGATGGCATAGTTTTGTCCCAACGAAAATATACATTGGATATTCTACAAGAATCAGGCATGCTTGGTTCCAAACCAGCCACTTTTCCAATGGAGCAAAATCACACATTGGGAACGGATACTAGTGATCTTCTTGCTGATCCTGGTCCTTATCGTCGCTTGGTTGGCAGGCTCATATACTTGACTATCACCCGACCAGAACTTTGCTATTCAGTACATATTCTGTCTCAATTCATGCATCAACCTCGCCATCGACATTGGGTAGTTGCTCTTCGCATCTTACGCTACCTCAAGTCTGCTCCAGGCCAAGGCATTTTTCTTTCCTCTAAGTCTAATTTACGATTTAATGCCTATTATGATTCCGACTAGGCCGGTTGTCCTCTTACACGCCGTTCTATTACTGGTTATCTTATTTTCCTTGGTCACTCTCCCATCGCCTGGAAAACCAAGAAACAAACTATTGTTTCTCGTTCTTCCGCCGAAGCTGAATATCGCTCTATGGCTACTACTGCGTGTGAACTTATTTGGCTTCATACCTTACTTCATGATTTACAAATCACTCATTCTTTGCCAGCCCACGTCCATTGTGACAATCGTGCTGCCATTCATATTGCCGCCAATCCTGTTTATCATGAGCGAATGAAGCATATTGAAATTGACTGTCATTTCATTAGGGATTGCATTAAATCTGGCTCCATCACTACGTCACATGTTCCATCTCATCTTCAACTTGCTGATCTCTTTATTAAAGCTCTCGATCATCAGCAATTTCATTTTCTTGTTCGCAAGTTGGGCATTCGAAATCTCCATGCTCCAACTTGAGGGGGCGTATTGGACGAAGATCTCCAACTGTATATTTGTCTTTCTATTTTAGCTGGTCAAATATTTGTATCTTTATCCTAGCCTTAATTTATTCTGTCAAATATTAATATTCCTTTTTAGTTTCCTTGATTTAAGGACCTCTTTTGTATATAAACGTATTCTGTATCAATGATAATGGCAAGAGAGAAAATTACAGCAGACCTCTCCTACTTTTCTCACAATCATTCGCAAAGTCCTTTATTGTCTATTGTTCGCTTCAGGGTACACAGCTCCCCTTGGCTTACCGGATTTTGTTGGTAAATGGGAGTTGGTATCGGAAAACTCTGGTGTCTCTGCCATGCATGGGATCTTGCTTCCAAAAATAGATAAAGTTTTGATGTATCTATGATGCTACTGGAGGACATCAAAGATTCCACTACCTCCTGAAAAAATGCCTTTGACGAGACACTAATGAACTAGACTGTTGGTGCGATTCAGTTTTATTTGATTATGATACAGCAAAACTGACAGCACTTAAGGTAAATTCATTAATTCACGTAATAGATATGTGGATAGTAAATTAATTTAATCTTTTTAGGTTTCTTATTAATCTTTTGTTATTGTCTATAACAGACTGAGCACGACACATGGTGCTCATTACATTAGGAGGCCTCACAGTGGATTGAAACTTGGTAGGAGCAGGAGATCACCGAGGAAGAGCCAACACTGTGAGATCTCTCTGTACATGTGAAAAATGTGATTAGAAGGAATACTCGGCATCGTTTGTAGATCCTAAATGATACATATACTGTATTTAAATTTAATCAATAAATTGATGTTATGGATTGGAAATAATTAAATAGTTTTTTCTTTTTCTTTTTTTTTTATCACTCGAGGTATTCAACACAAGTAACCTTACCTAATGGTGGGTTCATGGTGTTTGGTGGACGTTGTGCCTTTATTTCCAATAAAAACCCCACATTCCTTCCTTCGCTTAAAGCAAGTCAAGATCAACTCAATGCTCAAACACCATTTACTTTAGAGAATAACTTGTACCCCTTTGTTCACCTTCCCCCCTATGGCAATCTTTTTATTTTCTCAAATAAACATTCAATCTTGCTTGACCCAAAAACTAACCAATTAAGTTGTTACAGAGTTCCAGTTATCCCTGGTGGCTCTCGCAGTTACCTTGCATCAGGAATGTCTTTCCTCCTCCCATTAAGACTTAAACTTGGCAAACTGAGAAAGATCAACAACGGCGTTAGCGTTAAGNTGACAAGGAACAATAAAACGCTTAAGAGATCTAGCGAAGCCTTTTATTAACAGCATCAACGACAAATTGCCTTTATGTATTTGAAAAAAAGCTAGCTAAAATCTGCAAAATTTCTTCAAGATGAAAAACAAATTAACTCTACTCTAGCTCATTCTTCAACCATCTTTTTGCAAACTTAAGTTCTTAGAGAGATGGAAACTAATACAGAGGAAGCAAGAGAATATTATAAATAGAAAGAGTGTTTTTATGAGAATCAATTGTGTATTCAAATAAGCAAAATCACTATAGATATAATGACAATCATTTGCAAAGTCCTCTATTTTCTTTGTCTATTGTTCGCTTCAGGGCACACAGCTCCCCTTGGCTTAACGGAGTTTGTTGGTAAATGGGAGTTGGTATCGGAAAACTCTGTTGTCTCTGCCATGCATGGGATCTTGCTTCCAAAAATAGATAAAGTTTTGATGTATATATGATGCGCTACTGTGAGGACATCAAAGATTCCACTACCTCCTGAAAAAATGCCTTTGTCGAGACACTAATGAACTAGACTGTTGGTGCCATTCAGTTTTATTTGATTATGATACAGCAAAACTGATAGCACTTAAGGTACATTCATTAATCCACGTAATAGATATGGGGATAGTAAATTAATTTAATCTTTTTAGGTTTCTTATTAATCTTTTGCTATTGTCTATAACAGATTGAGCACGACACATGGTGCTCATTACATTAGGAGGCCTCACAGTGGTTTGAAACTTGGTAGGAGCAGGAGATCACGGAGGAAGAGCCAACACTGTGAGATATCTCTGTACATGTGAAAAATGCGATTAGAAGGAATACTAGGCATCGTTTGTAGATCCTAAATGATACATATACTGTATTTAAATTTAATCAATAAATTGATGTTATGGATTGGAAATAATTAAATACTTTTTTTTTTCTTTTTTCTTTTTTTTTTTTTTATCACTCTAGGTATTCGACACAAGTAAACTTACCGAATGGTGGGTTCATGGTGTTTGGTGGACGTTGTGCTTTTAGTTACGAATACATTCCACCAGAAGGGCAATCCAATAAAAACCCCACATTCCTTCCTTCGCTTAAAGCAACTCAAGATCAACTCAATGCTCAAACACCATTTACATTAGAGAATAACTTGTACCCCTTTGTTCATCTTCCCCCCTATGGCAATCTCTTTATTTTCTCAAATAAACATTCATTCTTTCTTGACCCAAAAACTAACCAATTAAGTTGTTACAGAGTTCCAGTTATCCCTGGTGGCTCTTGCAATTACCTTGCATCAGGAATGTCTTTCTTCCTCCCTTTAAGACTTAAACTTGGCAAACTGAGAAAGATCAACAACGGCGTTAGCGTTAAGGGGTGTTTGTGATACAATATTAAAGTTCTGATAAAAATGGGAAAAGTTACCATCTGAGTGGTAACAACTCAAACCCTTGGGGTAATTTATGATAATATTTCCCAACTTAAAAGTGTTGTTAACTTGTTATCTGATTATGTATAAATTTGATTAAGAAAATTATTTAAAATCTTTTAATAATTAACACTCACTTTGTAATTTTTTTTTTTTTTTTAAGAATAATCTCGAAATCTTTCTCCATCACTTTAAGCATTTAAATTCATAAGAAGAAGAAGAAGAAGAAAAACCTTGTAATTTTTAGTGATAAGATTGTGATTTTTCTAATAAAGTTATGGTAAAATAGTTTTAAAAAAATTATAATATATGCTATATTAACAAAGAAAATTTTGCTTTTATAAGAAAAAAAAAATTTAAGCTACACCCCTGTTAATACATAAATACTTGGATAACGTTGTTAGATAGATGTTAGTACTGCATTGGAAAATTTTGGATATCTAATATTATTTTTTTATAATTAGGATGACATTAAATAATCATAGCGTCAAGACTAGTAATTTATCTCAATTTTTGTTAAAAGATTAGGACCTAATGATTTTTATTATCTTATACTATACGAGTTAATAGATTGTCTGTATCAAATACTACACATCTTAGTATCTCTTGCATATATATATATATTACATTTATCATAAATTTAATGAGTTAATTTTTAATGTTCATTTATCTATTTATTTTACGTCACATTATAAAAGAGTTTGTATAATATTATTTATTAATATAATAGGTGATCCATTAATCTCACGTTAAATAAGACATCATTTGAAATAAATAACTAAAAATCTAGAACATCAGCATTTCATAATATAATTTTGCATGAAATATATAAACAAATGTAAGAATCTGATATTGGAGTAGCACGAAGAGGCAGTTCGTAACTGTAACATGTAAAGAAAGAAAATTAAAAAAATAAATGCAAATCAATAAACAAAGACAACAATATAATTCTAGCTAAATTACCATACTTGGACAATATCAAATATTCCAAATCTTCATTCACATGTCAACAACAAAAGTCAACCCAATTTCAGAGCAGCCTAGTTTAACTGGTCATCAGATAAACAGCCACATATATTTACTGTTCAAACCGGCTTCTTCGAGTTAAATAAAATTAAAACTTGTGATTTTGTCCTTTATTTGATGACTATATAAAAAATGTTCAAATATACTAAAAATGGAAAACAAATCAAAATTTGACAAATTCATCTACAAACTATTTCCAACCACAAATTATTAGAGGCGAGGAAAGCAGTGGGGGGATAGTATAAAATATGGAAGAGTGATGAAGGCTGTAAATGCAACGAAAAGTCATCGTATAGCAGATTTGATGGCGATCATATACGGTGTCATATGTATTCTTCCGCTCTTATTCGTTTCTATCCACGCAGCTGATAAAGCAAAAGATGTGACAACGAGTTTTCCTGGGCAATGGGAGCTGTTAACTGATAATTCTGGTGTCTCGGCAATGCATCTAATTTTGCTTCCAAAACTTAATAAGGTTTTGATGTATGATGCTACAATTTGGAGGATATCAAAGATTGCATTGCCTCCTGAGAAGATGCCTTGCCGTGTTGCTAATGCGGCCACTGGTGAACTAGACTGTTGGTCACATTCAGTATTATTTGATTATGATACAGCAAAACTGACGGCACTCAAGGTAGGTTCTACGTTCAATCAAGTTAATGAAATGTGTTAAACATTTTTACTTTCAATGTCAATATTATATTGTTCAATGTAACAGATTGTGACAGACACATGGTGCTCATCTGGAGGCCTCACAGTGGACGGAGACTTTGTTGGCATTGGAGGTTATAAAGATGGAGCAACCACCGTGAGATATCTAACCTCATGTGAAGAGTGTGATTGGAGGGAATCCCCAAGAACACTTGCACAACCTAGATGGTATATCAGATATCTACTTTTCTTTTCAATAGTTCCTTTATTTTTAAATGAAGAAGAATTTAAAGAAATCAAATCTGGTTGCAAAATCAATTAGGTACTCAACACAAGTAACTTTACCTGATGCTTCCTTCATGGTGTTTGGTGGACGTGGCGCTTATGATTACGAATACATTCCACCAGAAGGGCAAACAAATAAGGAGGCCATCTTCTTCCCCTTGCTCAAGGACACCCATGATAGATTGCCTAATGTACAACCACCACTAGTAGAGGACTCAATTGAAAATAATTTATACCCTTTTGTCCACCTTTCCCCCGATGGCAATCTCTTCATTTTTTCCAACAACCGTTCAATCTTGCTAAATCCAAAGACAAAACAAATTGTTCGTGAGTATCCAATTCTTCCTGGTGGGTCTCGTAATTACCCGGCATCAGCAATGTCCGCTCTCCTCCCACTACGACTTAAACTAGGAAAGTTGAAAAAGATCAACGCCGAAGTATTGATTTGTGGTGGTGCACCCTGGGATTCATTTTATTACGCAGAGAAGCATAAGAAATTTTTACCCGCATTACAAGATTGTGGAAGATTACAAATCCTAGACCCCAATCCAGTTTGGAAGATAGAAAAAATGCCAGCTCCTCGTGTAATGGGCGATATGATGATTCTTCCAACTGGAGATGTGTTAATGCTCAATGGCGCAAAAACAGGTACATCAGCATGGAATGATGCCGAAGAACCTTATCTGGCTCCTGTTTTATATAGGACTAAAGGACCAAAGGGCTCCAGATTTAGGGAATTAACACCTTCAAACATTCCAAGAATGTACCATTCCGTAGCTGGAGTGTTACCAGATGGAAAAATTCTTGTAGCAGGTAGCAACACTCACGATGGATACGAATATAATGCCAAATACCCTACAGAGCTTAGGGTTGAAAAATTTTCTCCCCCTTACTTGGATCCATCAGTGGCTGGCCTAAGACAGCAGATACTAGTTGAAGCTTCTGACGAAGTGCTCAGTTATGGCCAACAGTTCTCAATTAAGGTTAAGTCTAATGAAAGAATACTTAATAAGGAAGAACTTACAGTGACAATGTATGCACCACCTTTTACCACACATGGTATCTCAATGAGTCAAAGGCTCCTTATCTTAGTTATAGTGGAAGTAGTTAGTGATGTTTCTCCTGGAGTTCATAACATTGTGGCTGGGGCACCCATGCAAGGCGAATTAGCTCCTCCTGGTTATTATCTTCTTTCTGTCGTTTACAATGGAGTGCCAAGCGTTTCCATGTGGGTTCAGATTAAATAGAGTAGATTCAATCTACTAATGACAATAAGGTGTTTACTTGTAAAACTCTGGTATTTCAGAAATACCTTTGAGGCAAAGATAAACTAGATCTATTTTTGAAGTATAGATCTGTTGGATCTAAATTAATAAGAATTCTTTCATTTCTTTCACTATTTATAATGTTGGAAGTTGCATTAATCTATTTTTACATCATGATTAGTATCTCTAGCAAATATCTATACATGTATGTTAATTATAAGGATTAATGGTTGATGCGATGCCAGTATTTATAGTCTCGTTTCTTAATATTAAGGTTTGCACGTCCAGGCTAGTTGCCTACCCCTTAGTCTCATGCACGATATTCATATTATCCGCCACCAACTCTCACCGTGTCCCAGCTGGGCTCAACTCATCACCGCCCCATTCACTCTTCTAACATCACCATTAATTCCTAACCAATATCGATTAATATTAATTTTAGTGAAAGACTTTTTCTTTCTTTGTTTTTCGTCTTCTTTTTTTTTAACTAATTTTCCACTTTTAGACTAATTATATCCCAAAATTATAGTTTTCTATTGGTCAGAATTTAAACATAATACCCAACTACTCCATTTATCTTTTAAATTATTTAGTCAAAGTACCAATATTTCGGACAGAAATTTTACATTAATTAAAAATATAAAAATAAAATTGCGTCATACTCGTTATACACCTTATAATTTTCCAACTTCAATCATCCTTAAAACTACGTATCTGACTATCTGTTAAAACATTGGTAACGTTACTCCAACTTTTTAGGCATTCTTAAAGGAGGGAAACATCGCCCCGCAAAAGACGTACATATGGATCTTGGTCTAAGGACCGATCAAGGCCACTTGGACATCATTAGAGGGCAATGTTACTCCTCCAATTCTTTAGTGCTATTAATGTAATTTTCAAGAAATAATTATTTAAATAATGAAAAAAGAAAAAATAAAGAGCAACTTGCGTCATTTTACCAGGTCTACGCCAGCCTCTATCTGAATTGAAATGTTTTTTTCTTGCTCTCATTTGACACAAACATGTCGGAATGTAAATAAGCAGGAAAAGGTCAATAGGTCTAATAGTAAATTTTATTAATAAATAATAAAAACAAGCTTCATCTTAGCAGGGCGCTTTTGCTGGAGACAAGCTATATAAAAACCACAGAAATCCATTGAAAAAGCATTCCATTTTAAATCCACGAATTGACAAAAGCAAATAAGTCTCGATTTGAGTTGAAATGGCTAGTTTGCAAACTTTGTTGTCAATCCTATTTTTCACTGCAATTGCATTTCATCAAGGTTTAGTTGATGCAAAGTTTTCCAAAAGCATGTATATCAGCTGGGGTGCCCATCATTCAGCAATTCTGGGCAATGGCGACGACCTTCAGCTTGTGTTGGATCAAAGTTCAGGTAAATTATTTCAGTTTATCGTCTATCAAGCCAATGTTACAAATAATCAAGCTTCCTCAATAGTTTTTGCCTTTTTTAACATAAATTACACAAGAAAGCAACTGAGTGGATAAATTGAAATCATTTCTCTTGAAACTAAAACCAGTTCTCTTACTCCTAATGAAACTACACAAATAACAGCCTACTCTGTAATTTTTATGTTGCCTTTCACTTTTAGGCTCTGGTGTTCAATCAAAGAGAGCGTTCTTATTTGGAAGCATTGAAATGCTAATCAAACTAGTACCTGGAAACTCTGCTGGAACAGTAACAGCCTACTATGTAAGTGTGTTGATTTTAGCTACAAACAAGATCTGCTAATATAGAAATATATAGCTTCTTTTGTATCAACAACGCTTTATCATGTACATGACTCCCAACACAATATATAAAAATCCTCTCATTCCTCCACAACCAATCTTAAATTAATAAATTTTAATACACGGGGCTTATAAATCCAACACCCCATGCCAGAACAAAGACATCAATGTCAAAGAATGAAATGCCGATTCTCACATAATGAAAATGCTCATTCCCTGTAGTCATATTTATGCAGGTATCTTCAATAGGGAACATGCATGATGAAATCGATTTTGAGTTTTTGGGAAACATTTCCGGAGAACCATTTATTGTTCATACAAACATCTATACACAAGGGATTGGAAGCAGAGAGCAGCAATTCTACCTCTGGTTTGATCCAACTGCTGATTACCACAACTACACAATACATTGGAATCCCACTGAAGTTGTGTAAGTGGATTCCCAGGCACTTGCCTTTGGTTCACTGAAACATCACTATTCAGTTATTCAGACTGTATACTAATTTCGCCAAATTTTGACATAGCGAAAAAAAGTAAACATACACATGAAATACCATGTTAGTTCCTTCGACTTCCTTAAAAATCACAAGCATGATCACTTTCCCGAAAAAAAAAAAAAAAAATTCATCTTTTAGCTATTCCCCAAAGTCTTCTTCCAACATTCCAACTCATTTCCATATACTCTTCCAGCTGAACCATGAATTTGGCAAATATCTAATCTATGGATTCATCCATGTAATTTTCAGGTGGTATATTGACAGTCTACCAATTCGTGTTTACCGCAACTATGAGAACGAGGGGATTGCCTATCCTAACAAACAGGGGATGAGGGTATACTCCAGCATATGGAATGCTGATAACTGGGCAACAAGAGGTGGACTTGTCAAGATCGACTGGAACAGTGCACCTTTCATAGCCAGATTCCGCAGGTTCAGGCCAAGAGCTTGCAAGTGGGTTGGCCCGGCCAGCACTAGTCTATGTGCCTCCAATTCCCCAGCCAACTGGTGGACCTCCCCCACTTACAGCCAGTTAAGCAGTGCCCAGATGGGTCAGTTGCAGTGGGTCAGAAATAACTATTTGATCTATGATTACTGCCAAGATGCTAAAAGATTCAACGAACAGATCCCTCCTGAATGTTTCAAAAAACAGTTCTAACATCATCAATGAACCTTCTCGTACTATCAGCGACCATCAAACTTAAAAATTTCACCCAGTGTCTGTTTCTTTATTCTTTTTTTAGTTTTCTTCATTTCCAATTAAATGAATTGTAGATTTAACTTTTTTTGTAATAGAATTTCTTCAATTAAATGAGTTTCTCACGAATTCAATCGATTATCACAATAACTAAAGATTCAAGCATTAATACAAAGCCAAACACCAAGAACAATAAAGGCCGTACCCAACAAGGATAACCCGACCCGGGTCTTCTCTCCCAACAGCATTCCGAACAAGGCTGTAGCAGCAAACGTGGTCGCATTGGTAACGGGAACGGCTAGTGAGATGGGCGTGTGACTGAGAATAGCAAAGAAAGTGACGGAGGCGGAGAGATTTAGCAAAAAAGGGACCGAGTATTGCCAGATTAAAAGGAGTTTAAGCCAGTTCTTTAAACCAGTGAAGAGTTTTTGGCGGATTTTAAGAGGGTAAGGCGGAGAGGATGTGCTTTTCACGGCTTTGTCCCAGATGAGTGCACCACGCCGCATCAGCGCGTTGGTGGCCCCCCACACTAACCCTACCGCTATCATCTTCTCTACGTCTCCGGTCATCTGTCTCACACTAATTTTCTTCAATTTGATCGCTGTTCTTCACTCTTGCCTCCACGAATAAATAACAAGAGCAGTGGGCTAAAACTATTAAGTTTAGGGTGTGTTTGGTCGGGGGGTTAATGTAAGATTGGCATTACCATGTTTGTTTGTATTGCCGTAATGTCCTAAAATCAATATTAGTTAATATTGGTAACGTAAGTGCTAATTTGAACGAGTGATGATAGCCTTGTTCACTTCTTCTCCTCATTTTTGTAAATATATAGCATAATATGGGTACTATATATATAATATGAATATTATATATCATTTTAATAAAAGTGAGTAAGAGAAGTGAGTAAGAATAGCATTTTAATACCTTTTTTTTTATTTTTTTTGTTCTTTTAGTTATTATAAGATTATAGTAATCTTAATTTTGTTATAATTTTACTCCTAATTACTAAAATTTTTGGACATTGTTATCCTTGTTCTGAAAACAATGTACCTAGAACATCCTAACCACCTTCTGACAATTGCTAGCCACCACCAGCTACTACCAACCATCACCACTATCGTTGCCGACTATCAGCCTGTCGTTGCTGGAAACAACCAATTTATCTAACTGTTGTTAATGACAACCAGATTGGCACACGATCAACCAAATCCAGTTGGTTATACATCATTACAACTATTGTCAACAGTGGTGGCCGATGTTGGCCTTGGCAGTAGCTTGGTAAATGGGTGTATTTTTGTTAAAATTTAAACTTTTTTCTGGATGGGTTGTTTTAACAAATTTCAAATGTAGAGGGTTAAAAAATAATCTAAATAATAATAATGATATTATAATAATTAAAAAAAAAAACAATTTAATCTATATAACTACCCATTTATTCAACCCAACCAAACTATCAATTAATATACTCACTAATTTATTCCAACATAACCAAACATATATATAACATTCCCAGTATCTTTAAGGTAATATATTTTTCCATTAATATAACATTCTAAGTAATATACAATATTTCTTCAACCAAACACACTCCTAAGATAATATTTTATTTATAAACTTCTTATACAAAGTGATATACTTCCAGATGATAGGATAACTTTAAATTAAAAATAAAGCAACGAATTAAAAAAGATTACATATCAAACATACAAGATTATTAAGTAAGTTTGCATAGAATAGTTTGCACAAATAATTTGTACTAAGAAAGAAATCATCGGTAATCCCTTTTCGGATTTGAAAAAATAATCGCTTACCTCCTCCTGAGCATGAAATCTTAATGATAAAAAATAGCATGACTGTAAAAGATAAATAATGATTTTATGAAATGTGCGTAAAGATAGTGGATGATTTCTAATACTTTTGAGGTTTTGCTGATATTTTTTAAAACTTTGATGGAAGTTAGAATAATAAGCCTATAATAAATTGTAAAGGTCTATATATATAAAAAAAAAAAAAAAATTGTGGGTCATTTTAATTTGAGAATTAAATATTTTTATTCATTTTAACTACATAGAAATTGAGTAAATATCAATTATCAAGTAATTATACTTTATATGTCTTTACAAAAAGAGTAATATTATCCCTATAACCTCTTTTCATAAACTTTCTCTTACAATCTGATGTGACAATTCGTAATTGATTAGCTATAATTTATTGGGTAAGACCCATTGCAAATGGATCAATTATGAATTACCACGTCGAGGTTGTGAGAGAAAGTTTGTAAGAAGAGATTGTACACGTAATATTTTTCTCACAAAAAAAAAAATTAATTATCATAATTAATAATTATATAACTTAGTATATCATCTCAACATTTGGATATAAATATAGATATAGATCATTTGTATATTGTTTGTTAAATAATTACTCGAAGGGTTTTTGTAGGATTTGGACATACATAATTTATAAATTAACATGGTTACCATAGTAAACTAAACAAATGATTAATAAAAACACAATCATTCTCCAGTGGGCAATTGTTCTAGAGTTTTTCCAAAATTTCAATCCATTGTTTCAACTTGATTGCTATATATTATCATATCTCTTTTATATATTTATTTATTTATTCTTTGATAGGTAAAGTTGATCCTTTCTCTTTTTTTTTTTTTTTAATTATTTTAATAATACTGAATTTGATTGACTTATATATAACATCTGGCTACCTTTAATAAAGTGTGCCATTAAAATTTATATTTATCAATTATCGAGAAATTAAATAAGAGGGAAACCTAAAACATCAGCACTTGACAACATCAAACACAAAAATTAAATCCGAATCCCGTAAGTAACTAAGAACTATCCAAATTTCTCCTAAATCAGGAATGAACATTATTTTAGCATATTCTGAAGCAAACATTTTATAACCATAAGTTGATGAAGAGATGGAGAGTTAAACGAGGGAAGCAAGAAACAGCATAAATAGAAAGAGTCTTCTTGTGCATGAAAGCAATGTACACACCATTTGCAGTCATGTTAAAAATCCTTTATATTTTTTCTCTCTTCTTCTTTTCAGGATATGCCAACATATTCTCAAATCCTTTTCATAAATTATTTCCAGATCGTGTTTCGACATTTGAAAATGGACTGAAACCCAAAAAAATCTCCGAACTGGAGTCTGAAAGCAAAGCTATAAGTGCTGATAAAACAGATTACAATGGCAATTGGGAGCTGGTAACCGATAATTCAGGTGTCTCAGCTATGCATGTCATCCTGCTTCCCAAAATAGGGATCGGCCGGAAAAGGCCAGATCGGTGTAATTCAGGCCATTTATGGTCAGAATTTAGGTCGTTGTACAGATTTCGGCTATCACCGGCGGGGGTCGCCGGAATCTGATAAGTTGGGTTGATGGGGGGGTTTTTGTTAATTTTTAAAAAAAAATTAGGGGGCATTTAGTGAAATTAATAACCTTATCGGGTCTAAATTAATTAAAAAGTAGGGTATATTTTTGGAATAGTGTGCTAAACATTATTTGAAGAATAAGATTGGGAATATGAATAAAAATAGGAAGCAAACGCCCCCCAAAAACCCCGTGATATCTCGTTATAAATATTTTTATTTATTTTAACTATATAAAAATTGAGTAAATATCAATTATCAAGTAATTATACTTTATATGTCTTTACAAAAAGAGTAATACTATCCCCACAATCTCTTCTCACAAACTTTCTCTTATACCCTGATGGACAATTCGTAATTGATTAGCTTTAATTTATCGAGTAAAACCCATTACAAACGGATCAATTATGAGTTGTCACATCGAGGTTATGAGAAGAGGTTGTACATGTAATACTTTTCTTACAAAAAAAGATAATTATCGTAAGTAATAATTATATAACTTAGTATATCATCTCAACATTTGGATATAAATATAGATATAGATCATTTGTGAATTGTTCGTTAAATAATTACTCGAAGGATTTTTGTAGGATTTGGATATAGATAATGTTGATGCGTGATTTTAGACACCAACTAATCGACACGTGCGCAACGTTGATTGATCAAGAGGCACACGTGATTATGAGTAACAAGAGAAATAAATGCAATGAAACCCTTTTAAAGTGGTTCGGATGCTAAGGTAGCAAGTCCTACGTCCACTGATTTGTATTAATAAAGTGGGTCAGGTCGTAACAGCGGACTGACTTACAAAATGATTGGCAAGAAAAGTAAATACAAAGTTGACTGAGAGAGAGAGCTAATTTCAAGTGTAAAATAGTCGAATCCCCTTAATAAAGGGGTCTTCCTCTTTTTATAGTGAGGTTAGTGCAAGTAATCATCAGTAAATCTATGGGTTGGTGTGAATGTCAGGAGTAAATCCGGCTTTATGTCACATTTCCCACATTCCAAACTGATTTTACGCGATTTAGACCAGGGAAAAGGACACGTGGGAGCTCCAGAGCTATTGGCAGGCCTGACATGGGTTTACCGTTCTGACAGGAGCAGGTCACCCTCTCATCACGTGATCTCTTACGTCAGCCCTTGATTTTCCAATAGTAACAGATAATTTATAAATTAACATGGCTACCATAGTAAACTAAACAAATTATTAATAAAAACACAATCATTCTCAAGTGGACAATTGTTCTGGAGTTTTCCAAAATTTCAATCCACTGTTTCAACTTGATTGTTATATATTATGGGGTGCGTTTGGTGTAGTATTTTGGATAGGATTTTGAGGATAGTATTGGATTGTTGGATAGAGGAGTATTACGAGGTAAATTTAAAAAATTTATGAAAAAGCCCTTAGGTTTACTAATTTAATTAAAGACCCTACTATATAAAATGACAAAAACACTTCCACCACCTGCAGTGTCAGATTCCGGCCGCCACCGTCGGAATCTGGCCGAAAAATTTTGTTACGGCACAGACCGATCGGATCTGTGCCGTAACACATCATTATGGCCTTTTTCGGCCAGATCCACCACGGATCTGGCCGAAAAAGGCCAGATCTACGGCCTGTTATGGCCATCGACAGCTAGAAAGGCCAAAACGACGGCCAAAGATGTGGCCGTCATTTTCGGTCAACGACGGCCATTTCTTTGGCCGTCGCTGACGACCAGATCTGGCCTTTTTCGGTCAAATCCGTGGTGGATCTGGCCGGAAAAGGCTAGATCGGTGTAATTCCGACCATTTATGGTCAGAATTTAGGCCGTTGTACAGATTCCGGCTATCACCGGCGGTGGTTGCCGGAATCTGACAAGTTGGGTTGATGGGGGGGGTTTTTGTTAATTTTTAAAAAAAAAATCAGGGGGCATTTAGTGAAATTAATAACCTTATGGGGTCTAAAAGTAATTAAAAAAATAGGGTAATATTTCTGGAATAATGTGCCAAACATTATTTGGAGAATAGGATTGGGAATATGGATAAAAATAGGGAGCCAAACGCACCCCTAATAGTTTAATAACAGCCATTCTATGGAATATGGACAAAATGCTTATTGAATTAAATCTCTATATATTTCTAAAAATTTGTATTTATTTTTTTCCATAAATTTAATCTTTGAGTTCCCATACTTTAGATACATACAGTAACATTGGATGCGTTTAGTGTAGTATTTTAGATAGGATTCTGAGGATAGTATTGGATTATTGGATAAGGGAGTATTACGAGGTAAATTTAAAAAATTTATGAAAAAGCCCTTAGGTTTACTAATTTAATTAAAGACCCTATTATATAAAATGACAAAAACACCCCCATCACCTGTAGTGTCAGATTCCGGCCGCCACCGCCGGAATCTGGCCGGAAAATTTCGTTACGGCACAGACCGATCGGATCTGTGCCGTAACGCATCATTATGGCATTTTCAGGGCAGATCCACCACAGATCTGGCCGGAAAAGGCCAGATCCACCACAGATCTGGCCGGAAAAGGCCAGATCTACAGCCTGTTATGGCCGTCGACGGCCGGAAAGGCCAAAACGATGGCCATCTTTGGCCGTCAGCGACGGCCAAAGATGTGGCCGTTGTTTTCGGTCAACGACGGCCATTTCTTTGGCCATCGCTGACGGCTAGATCTGGCCTTTTCCGACCAGATCCATGGTGGATCTGGCCGGAAAAGGCCAGATCGGTGTAATTCAGGCCATTTATGGTCAGAATTTAGGTCGTTGTACAGATTTCGGCTATCACCGGCGGTGGTCGCCGGAATCTGATAAGTTGGGTTGATGGGGGGGTTTTTGTTAATTTTTAAAAAAAAATTAGGGGGCATTTAGTGAAATTAATAACCTTATCGGGTCTAAAATTAATTAAAAAAGTAGGGTAATATTTTTGGAATAGTGTGCTAAACATTATTTGAAGAATAAGATTGGGAATATGAATAAAAATAGGAAGCCAAACGCACCCATGATATCTCTTTTATTTATTCTTTGATAGGTAAAGTTGATCCTTTGTTTTTTATTTTTTTAATTATTTTAATAATACTGAATTTGATTGACTTATATATAACATCTGGTTACCTTTAATAAATTGTGCCATTAAAATTTATATTTATTAATTATCGAGAAATCAAATAAGAGGGAAACCTAAAACATCAGCACTTGACAACATCAAACACAAAAATTAAATCCGAATCCCGTAAGTAACTAAGAACTATACAAATTTCTCCTAAATCAGGAATGAACATTATTTTAGCATATTCTGAAGCAAACATTTCATAACCATAAGTTGATGGAGAGATGGAGAGTTAAACGAGGGAAGCAGGAAACAGCATAAATAGAAAGAGTCTTCTTGTGCATGAAAGCAATGTACACACCATTTGCAGTCATGTTAAAAGTCCTTTATATTTTTTCTCTCTTCTTCTTTTCAGGATATGCCAACATATTCTCAAATCCTTTTCATAAATTATTTCCAGATCGTGTTTCGACATTTGAAAATGGACTGAAACCCAAAAAAATCTCCAAACTGGAGTCTGAAAGCAAAGCTATAAGTGCTGATAAAACAGATTACAATGGCAATTGGGAGCTGGTAACCGATAATTCAGGTGTCTCAGCTATGCATGTCATCCTGCTTCCCAAAATTAACAAGGTACTAATGTACGACGCCACCGTTTGGAGGATATCTAAGATCCAGTTGCCTCCTGAGAAGATGCCTTGCCATCTTGTTAACCCCGAAAAGAATGAGCGAGACTGTTGGGCACATTCAGTCCTATTCGACATTGAAACATCTCAGCTGAAAGCACTTAAGGTTCACCATTTATAAAAAGTAGATTTTTTTTTTTTTTTTTTTTTTTCTGCGAGCTCTATTGTTAATAAAAATATAAAACTTTATTTTGTTTCTTCTGTGATAGCTTGAAACCGACACATGGTGTTCATCAGGAGGACTCACAGTAGATGGAAACTTGGTTAGCACTGGAGGCTATGGAGGCGGAGCTAACACTGCGAGATATCTGACCTCATGTGATACATGTGACTGGAAAGAATACCCAACAGCGCTTGCAGATCCTAGATGGTATTTCTAGTTCTCCATTGCCAATTTCAAAATCTATTCAAAAATCTCTCTCTTTTTGTCCTTTTACAGCTATTATTTATCATTCTTCAGTCTCACATATATATACTTTTTAATGTTTTGCAATATTTTTCTAGTTAGGAGTGGCTTGTTTGCCTTAGCTACCTAGGTCTTCCCTTAAGTATAACTATTTTTAAAAATATTATGATAAATTTTTTTTATTATTTCCACTGAAGGCTCTCTCAATGAAATTATCGGAAAAAACGTTGTTATCCTTTAGTTCTCTGAAATATCTTTATCTTCAAATCCCTACAATGCTACCAACCCAACTTCAGCACAATCGTCTCCCCCAAAACTGAAAATTTATAAGTTAGTTTCAACCATCCATCACCATCAAAATCACAAACCAAATTAAAAGAAAATTATTTGTGGAATAATCCATCCGGAAGAACAGCACAAACAACAAACCCTTTACCAAAAAATGAAAATCAAAACCAATAAAATTTCAAAAATAAAATAAAATAAAAACCCAAAAAGAAGTCCTCATAATGAATGAAGGTTGCAGCTATCTAGGCCTGTCGTAGCGACGACCATGCAATCGATGCCGAGCCTTAGTGTGGTAGCCACAAAGTAGCTACTGGCCAGCTAGCCGAGACAATTGTTACCAAGCATTAATGGCTGGCACAAAACTACAATAAGGTCAACCACCACCTAAGCAACGACTATAGCAAGGCCAGTCGTTGCGTGGGCCTAGCACGACAGCTGCAGCCTGGCAGGGTAGTTGTGACGACAACCGGCCAATAGTCTATTTCCTTCACCTTTTAGTAGTCCCAAAACAGACAATACTCAACCTAAATCAGTGAAGAATAACTTTTCTTCGGTGGCTTTGAGGAAGAACATCCTAGACTACCTTAAGCTTTTCGAATTTACATTCAACCATAACTTTTTTATTTATTTAAAAGACCCTATGTGTTTGGAAACTATATTATAAATACCCCATTTGTCTTATAGACCCTTAAATTTTGATAACTTTATAACCAATACCCCTTTGCTAGGGGTGTTCAAAAGAACCGGTTAAAACCGGAATCGGCGGATACCCTGGGTTTGGTTCCTGTTCCTACCCAGAACCAGTCGTCAATGGGTAGGTTCCGGTTCCAAATTATTGGAACCGTTATTGTGCGGTTCCAGTTCCAGTTCCTATAGTTAGGAACCAGAACCGGAACCAAAACCAGGAACCAGGAACCAGGAACCAAGACTAATATAAAATAAAATTAAAGATTAGGGGGCTTAATAAAAACTTTTGTAGAAAAAGTAATGTGAATACATTTATATTTATATTTCATAACATTTAAGGTAAGTTGGTTTGACTTTTGAGAATCTACCTTTACAAAGTAATGGAGTTTGTAATTTTGAATTTATAATTTGTAATTTTATTTTTGTTAACAAGTGCCAGGTGGGGGGGTATTTGTAAGTTTTTAAGGATTTTTTTAATAATTTTAAAAACTTTGGGGGGTCATGTAATTTTACAGGGTACCCAGAACCGGAACCAGAACCGTTGTTACAGGTTCTGGTTCTGGGTACTTAGGAACCGGAACCGTCGGTTCCGGTTCTGGTTCCAAATTTCAAGGAACCGTCGGTTCCGGTTCCGGTTCCTTCAAAAAGTACAGGGTATCCGAAACCGAACACCCCTACCCTTTGCCTTTGGCCTTTACCCTAACCATGTTACATTCTTGTTAGGATTACATGAGTAGATTATCACATTATCCCTCTTAAAATATGGTTTTAAAATATACATTGCTCATGCTCATCTAAGGGTCGAGTCTCAAAATTGATATTTTCTAAAAGAAAAATTCAAAACACTTTCTCGTAAGACCAAAGTTACCATTTTATCCCTCTGACACTAATAGCAATATAGCAACGTTAGGCAAAGGAGAATCAAGAATGCAATTTTCAAACTTTGAGGGTCTATTTAATAAAAAGTCTTGAAATTGTTATATGAAGAATAATTTTGAAACGTTGGGAGTAGTATTAAACTTTTGAAGTTTTTTATTTTGTGCAATTTTTTTAATAAGTGACGAAAAGTCAAATATGTTTTCCTCCGTTAATTTCACACTACTCGCGTGACGTCTGTCAAGTTGCAAGTTGTTTCACTAGTAAAAGATATATTTGTCTTTGATGAATAGACGACAACCTTTAGGATTAAAATGTGATTAGCTCTTTAAATTCTTATGGTATCATTGCTTTGTCCTCTCCTGTATAAAAAATTTATCTGATACTATTCATTTATATATTTTTTTTTTCTAATGTAATTCTACATTTAAATTTAAACTTATATATTTATAGAAAATCTTAACCTATAAATGAATGATTATACTTTAATTTGCAAGTCTTTTCTTTTTGGTCTAATAGAAACAAAAGTCAACTGTTTTCTTTAAATAAATTTTTTGATCAGTGTTTGTTGCAATTGTTGTGTGATTGAAGGTACTCAACACAGGTAACATTGCCTAATGGTACCTTCATTGTGGTTGGTGGGCGAGGTGCCTTTAGCTATGAATATATTCCACCAGAAGGACAATCCAATAAGAAATCCATCTTTCTCCCCTTACTGAGAGATACCCTTGATAATCTGGATTTAGGCCGAAAAAATGTGTTTAGAATTGAGAATAATTTGTACCCTTTTGTCCACCTCTCTCCCGATGGTAATATATTTATATTTTCCAACAATCGTTCCATCTTGCTCGATCCCAATACTAACAAAGTTGTTCATGAGTTCCCTGTTCTTCATGGTGGATCCCGTAACTACCCGGCATCAGCAATGTCTGTGATTCTTCCTATAAAATTGCACGTGGGTACAAAGGTAATCAATGCTGATGTCTTGATTTGTGGTGGGGCAAAATGGGATGCATTCTATTACGCAGAAGCTAAAAAACAATTCATGCCTGCATTACAAGATTGCGGAAGAATAAAAATCACAAAGAAGAATGCAGTTTGGAAGACTGAAAGGATGCCATCACCTCGTGTAATGGGTGACATGGCTATTCTTCCAACTGGAGATGTGCTAATGGTTAATGGTGCAAAAACAGGTACATCAGCTTGGCATGATGCAGAGGATCCCAACTTAATCCCCGTGCTATATAAGCCTAAAGGACCTAGGGACCAAAGGTTTAAGGAGTTAGCTGCATCTACAATTCCAAGAATGTATCATTCATCGTATGCGGTACTACCAGACGGAAAAGTTCTTATAGCAGGTAGCAACACTAATGATGGGTATGTATATAATGTCAAGTATCCCACGGAGCTTAGGGTTGAAAAATTCTCGCCTCCTTATTTGGATCCTTCATTAGCTTGGTTAAGACTAGAGATCATAGTTCAATCCTCGGATAAGGTGATCTCGTATGGCAAGAGCTTCTCGGTACAAGTGAAGTCAAAGGAGATGTCAACAGTACTAAACATGCATGATATCCGATTGTCCATGTATGCACCACCGTTCACCACACATGGTATCTCAATGAACCAAAGGCTCCTCATCTTAGGTTTGGTAAATGTGGATAACAATGTTGGCAATGGAATTCATACCATTGTAGCAGAGGCACCGCCATCTGGTTCTGTTGCTCCTCCTGGTTATTATCTTTTTTATGTCGTTAATAAAGGAGTGCCAAGCATTGCAATGTGGATCCAGATCAAGTAAATGCTGCATATGTGAGCGTTAACATCTATGCTATATGTTTTTTTTTTCAAACAATTGGAAGTAGAGTACCCTTAGGACACATTGATTATTTGAATTCTTGATTTCACCCCTATGTAACTCTCTTGGAGGTGTGAGATATATATATTTGTGCCACAAAGAAAACCTACAGCCTAAATTGTTCATTTGAAGTCTTTTGTGATTTACTAGTTTAGTTTTAGACCACAATTCTTTTAGTTGTTTTATTTGTTCAATTACAATAATTGGTTTGGTTACATACAAATTATATATAGAATTTGAAGAAAATTATATACTAAATATTAAAATTAGAATATAAATATTTGAAGTGAGACGAAATAGCACAATCACTTACCTGTCATATGGTAGTGGTGGCCATTACGTACTGAGCCTATCGCGGTCTTCATTGTCTTTCAGACCCCATTCTATACGTAGCCACATCCCCTTGCCCCTCGTGGTCCCGCCAAAATTGTCTTTCCCACTTCAATGCTTAACAAAATTATAACGCATCTCCTTCACATTCAAATTAACTGCACTTCATTACTTTTATATTTACATGTAATAAATTGTAAACTTACTTTTTTAATATTATTATTATTATATCACTTTCCAACAAAGTATTTTAATTTGAATTCTTAATTTTACTTAAATATAATAAACAATAATAGCTTGATTTGAAGAGAGAATGATCCAAATTTACTTATATAATATAAGATTTCATATATAAACTTTAAAATTAAATTCTTCCAATATATTTGATACAATTAAATTAAACTAGTCAATATTCATAAAAGTGACCACTAAAGTCTTGATTCAACATAACATATTGTCTTATTAAATAATCGTACGCAATTAGTAAGAATAATCGGAATAAGGCCGACACGTCAAGCAAGACCGATTTAATATTTATCCAAAAAAAGAGTAATTGACAACAATAACCTTCTAGAACTACCAATTCTCTAGCATTTCCTCTCTAGTTTAAGCACAAATATGTAAACAGACAAAACCATCCTTTCATTCCTCTGCACCAAATAGCGTCATTAGTCAACAAGTCAACCTACCTAAACCTAGGCCGAATTCCAAAACTACCCTTGAATTTTGCTCATTTATCCTCTGAACGAAGCCACAGTGTCACCTATCTGTCATGTGCTGCCAAGGTATTCTCTGTGTGGCTTCCAATTCTTCTCTGATACTATTTTAGTTTAAACTTGAACCAAAAAAAAAAGTCGTTCTTTGATCATACTTACGTTTACTGCATCACCAACTCCAATTACGAAACCCTAGCTTTTCTTTCATGATCTGATCCATTGGCCGATCTTAGCCAGCATGGATCGGATCGTCGGTGGCAAGTACAAACTCGGCCGAAAAATCGGTAGCGGATCCTTTGGCGAAATTTATCTCGGTCTGTTTTTTTTTTTTTTTTAATTTAATTTTTTTATCATATACACTGATATGATATTTACATGGTGCTGAATGATCTGGTGGTTTTTTTTTTTTTTTTGTTAATTTACAGCTACGCATGTTGATACGTTTGAGATCGTCGCTGTTAAAATTGTAAGTTTCAGTTTTATCTTAGGTTATTATGTGTGCTCTAGAGTAGAAATTTGTGGATCATGATTGTAGCTGTTTGTGCATTACTATTTCGTATCGTATTTTATATTTGATGAGCTGTTAAGCTTGGGTACACGTGTGATATACTCGTCAGTATTTGCTGTTGCAAAATTCAACCCACTGAGCTGCTAATCGCTTACCAGTAATCATTGTTATTATTATTTTATCAGGAGAATAGTAAAACAAAGCACCCGCAACTGCTTTACGAGGCCAAGTTATACAATATTCTTCAAGGAGGAAGTATGTATTACACTACAATAAACATAGTATTTATTTCTGGGTTTATGAGATGCATAATTGAGACTCGTCAATTCATTTGTTTATTTATTTTTCTAGGTGGAATTCCGAACATCAAATGGTCGGGCATAGATGGGGAGGACAATGCGCTTGTCCTTGATTTGCTGGGACCAAGCCTTGAGGATTTGTTTGTGTACTGTGGTAGAAAGTTTTCTCTGAAGACTGTCTTAATGTTGGCTGATCAAATGGTAAGTTGTTTATAACTTGTAATATATCAGTTTGAGCTTGAAATTGTTTGGTTAGATTGCTGGTAATAGTTTTCGATAAATATGACTTGTTTCAGATTACAAGAATAGAATATGTGCACTCTAAAGGATTTTTGCATAGAGACATAAAGCCTGATAACTTCCTCATGGGTCTTGGACGTAAAGCAAATCAGGTAATTATTTTGCACCATATTCTGACTTGAATTATCTCTTCTATTTTATGTTAAATTTCCATTTCTTCCTGGTGTCTTAAGTTTATGCTTACTCATCAGGTTTACATAATTGATTTTGGACTTGCAAAAAGATATCGCGATGCTACGACTAATCGGCATATACCTTATAGGTAGTTTTTCCATATATTAAACTATGCAATTATTGATTTCCCTCTTACTACTTGACATTGACAACTATGCCCATGTGTTATAACTTGGCTCGTTGATATTAAGAATATTATCACCTAGTGAATGCTAGAAAAGATTTGAGGTGAAAAAAGAGTTCAAAATTCATTTTGCTTTGCACAGGGAAAATAAAAACTTAACAGGGACTGCACGATATGCAAGTTGCAATACACATCTTGGGATTGGTAAGAAGAAAGGGGATATTATTATTATTGTTAATATTTTGTTTGGTAAATCATGCTCTTATCTTTCCTCATTTGTTGTCTTGGTCAGAGCAAAGTCGACGGGATGATTTGGAGTCTCTTGGTTATGTACTTTTATATTTCCTAAGAGGAAGGTACTCGTTCTTTTCTCTGAGGCTCAATAAAACCAACTGTTTTTTAAAGTTAATTTTGACTGTTCTAAATTGTTTGTTGAAGCTTGAAATATGTTGTTGCTTGATCTATTTTATTAGAAGGTATTCTAAAGTTTGAGACCACTTGAAAGGAAAAAGCTTTTTTCAGCTCAAATATTGGGTTTCTGAGTGTGTGTGAAACTGATTCAAATGGTTCTGTGCAGCCTTCCATGGCAGGGGTTAAAAGCTGCAACAAAAAAGCAGAAATATGACAAAATATGTGAGAAGAAGTTATCAACTCCTATTGAGGTTTGTCTTCCATTTACATATGTTGGAGGTATATACTTTGTTTCAAATATAACTTAAGTTGGTGTGCTCTCTTTTCCCTCAGGTTCTGTGCAAATCTCACCCTGTTGAGTTTGCATCATATATCCATTACTGCCATTCTTTGACATTTGATCAGCGGCCTGATTATGGATTCTTAAAGCGTCTGTTTCGTGACTTGTTCGCTCGTGAAGGTATTTGAGGAAATAAATTCAGTGCCTATTATTTGTATTAAGAATTTCCATCTTGTATAAGTTATATATGCAGATTATGACTATATGTGAAGACCAACTTGGTTTGGTGGCCATCCCCCTTTCTGATTAATCATATGTATGCTCATGTTTTGTTATGCTGGATTTAGAATAGGCATTGTTATCAGTGCATGAACATCATGAAAACTGTTGAATGGGTTACTTGGTCTTTTTTTATGTCTCTTGGGACACTATTGGTAAATGGAGTAGAAGAATGTATTGAATATGGCAAAGAAGGTTTCAGCCTTTTGGCCGAATTGCGTTTAAGATTCTCTTCAACTGACCTTAGTGTTTGATTAGAATTCCAATTCCTGCCTAGATGGTGGAAAGGAGCAGGGAACAAATTTGAGTCGAATTGTAATTTATATTTCTCATGTTATGCCAACTTTCTGGTGCAAATTAATGATTATTCAAGTACTTCTTGGGCAGGATATGAATTTGATTATATTTTTGATTGGACCATCATAAAGTTCCAGCAGGCACAGAAAAGTAGAAGTCAGCCTCGATTATCTGTTAGTACCATTTTTTGCCTGTATTCTATTTCTAATTGAAATTCATTTTCCACATTTTGGTGTCTTTCTAGGATTTGTGGATTCGGTTTATTATATTTCTATGTGAGCTACATTTTAAGGAATTCAGTAGTTACTTGTGGTTCAGAATTCAGATATTTTCGAGTTTGTGACTGTATACTTTAATGTATTACAGCCAGTTCCTGGGGGGAGCAGCAGTCATGCAATGCCAGTGGATATCAATCACAAAGGTTAGATCAGATAGCATCTGGAATGACATGTTGTGGTTTGAGACAGTTAGCTGTTGGAATTTTGAAGTTTAGAAGAACTGTAATAAGTTGAAAGCAGAGAATACAATAATCTTTGCTTATAGATCTGGTATTATTTATTGGCTGTATTCAACTTTTCCTGACTTTATTTTGGTGCTAAATTTGGTCTTGATGGTACCAATTTAGTGCACAAGTGGCATTAAGGTTAAGACTTGAACTGTTTCTGTCTTCTTTGCAGCATGTTCTAAACCTTTTTGTTAGAAGATATTTTTCTAATTATAAGTTTATTAATAACTAAATGATGTTTCCATTTTTTAGTTGTTTTTGCAACTGGAGATGTTTTGGGATTAAGAACATGATTAAAATTAAACAGAAGAAAGTATGACAACTTTCCTTCTCATCTCTTCTTTTTCAACTCTATGCAATTAAGCATTGCAACTTGTTTTGGGATCAACTGAAGATTCAATTTTACACATATTTGTGCTTACATGTTCAAGTGCATCTCGCTCATTTCTTAGGTGCTGGAGAAGTGATTGATTAACAAAGAGTTTCTCATTTTTATTATTTTTGCAAAAAAAAAAAACACTACTCTTGAGTAAAATATGTCTCTGTTAAACTAAATAATGAAAGCATTTGGAAGACACATTTTTGGTGCTGATTGAACTGTAATATATTTTAATTTAACAAGGTTCCTCTAAGATGGAAATCAAGCTAAGGCTGTTAAGCTATTGAGTGTAGGCAATTAATGAGTTTATCATTTTAACTCACTAATTAAAACTGATGCTGTGATGTGTTTATTCTTTAATTGGCAGGAGGTGTTAATGGTCCACACGCAGCTGACATCACAGAGCACATTCGGTCAAGCAATGTAACTGGTCCTGGCACACGCGGGCACTTCAGATCACCTATGGGCAAGCATTTGAGTCCTGACTATACTGTCGACAAGAATGTAAGTTGTCCAAATTTATTTATTCCCCATGAAGAAAATTAAATATACTATTTGACTGATCTAGACCTAGATATTTCAAATAGGTATTTGTTGATGAATTTGATTGTTGCAGATTGTGAGTGATGCACACATGCCATCCACTTCTTATTCACTTGCTGGTGCCTCAAAAAGAAACACCCCAAAACCCGTGATACCCACTGAAGCATCAAATCCTGGTCACGGACACAGCAGCAAGGTTGGTCCTTCAAGTAGTTGGATTTCATCATTGCAGCGTATTTCTTCTGCAAAGTGATCAAATGGTAACTTATCTGGTTCATACACTGATGTGTTTTACGGCTGCAAAAAGAAAAAAAAAAAAATTGGAAAAGGCATCATTTTGCTTTAAGTTGGACTCTTTCTTATTGCAGAAAGTGCTTGTATCCTCTTGTTCACCAGTGTTGTTGACTAAATATTCACCAGTATGCTTTTAGCTATGGATTTGGTCAAGAAGATGTAGAGTTACATTTATGGAGCAGGAAATGTGTGGTGATTTGATGTTATGTTTTCCATTATGTATCTGGTTGAAAAGTTGCTATCGATGCACTCATGACAGCTGCAAATGTGCTGCTAATTTGAAGAATTGCATTTATGAATGCGAGCTCACATTGTTTTCTCTTAAGGTGACTACAAACACATTGGTTGTTATATGAGACACATATTCCGAAAGCTTGGTTACTGTGGTGTACATAGATGTCATGAATGATTTATAGCAACCTTGTAATTTATGGTTCTATGTAACACGAGTTATATGTGAAAGATTTATTTTTCTCCTTGATAATTTGTTTAGCTTTCTTCATATGGCTTTCAACAAAAATTTTGTTTTACTTGACTCATGATTATGATTTTCTGGTGTACTCTTGTTATTTTAGTGACTGTTGGACAGTGTCATAGTTATTGGGGGGCTTTATTAAACCTTCATAACTAAATCTGACTAAAACACAACTTCGTAGTAATTAGTAATATCTATTATGATAATTTGTATTGTCGACCCTTATTATTTCATTTACTTGGGTTCAGCTAAGTTATCTCTTGCAAGGTGGCAGCTGGCAGGTCAATCAAGATGTATTGCAGAAATTCTGTCTACTGGAAGAAAATTTTATGGCTCAAAGAGAACCATCTGTAGAATTTAAATATTTTTTGTGATTTTAGTCTTTAGTTGGCACTGGGCACATATTCTGTTCATTCTAGCATGACTGTTGTACTGATTTACATTTACGATAAGAGATTGCGGAAATCTTTTGAGTTTGAATTAGATTTAACAGATGATTTTTCTTTCTAGTTTATTTGAAAATTTTTGCTTTATGTTTTGATGATAGGCAAGGTACATGTCTAATCTGATTGATGTAGCTATATGTGACTTTGTGGTGTTATGGTCTTGATTTTATCTATCCTTAAACTCACTTTATGTTTCTATTTCATTCGCTTCTCAATTTGGTGATCAGAGAAATCATTTTAAAGTATTTATTTACAATTTTCAATTATATTTCCTGTTACATCCGGAAGTTTTTATCTGTAGTTGCATGCTTATCAGATGTATCTTTTTTATTCAGAACAGACTTCTAAAAGAAATTTTATATGACAAAACAGTGCATTTTGCAGAAGAATCCTACATGTGTCCTGGCACCTGCTTAAAGATTGATGAAGAATATTGATGTCTTTAGCTTCAGAGTATTATTCTTGCAATGATATTTTGTTTTCTGACATTGCTTTCTAGACTGTTTTTTTTTTAATCCAAGTAGCATCACAATTGACTCAAGTAATAAGTTAAGATCAAGATTATTATATGGTTCCATTCTTTTGGGACGATGAGTAGTTTCCATTTTTTATTTTATTTTAATAATTCTAAATAACACTTTCAATTATCAGTTAATACTTTGTAATTTGCAGGATTGTTTTATATCTTCATTGTTGTGCGAAGGGTGGGGATATGACAGGGAAATACTGTTTAGGGATGGCATTTGAAGACCATAGAACACGTCTATGGTTATTTGTTGTTGAGGAAGAGGCTACATAACTACTGATTTGAGGGAAGATTGCTTGAAGTAATAATGGTTTTATGGTTAATGTCTTTTGTAGGTTCAGATTTGTCAAATTCTTACAGCATCTATGAAGTAAATGTTTCAAGTTTCCCCTCGTAAGATAGATCTTTCTGATGCAAAGAGGAAATGCCTTTGTCTATCATACAGTATTAAACTTTCAAGGTGAGAATTGTGTGTTTGAGTGGAATAACTTGGAAATAAAGGGAAGGGCAGGAGGCCAGAGTGACAAGGTCTGGCAAGTATAACTTAGAAGTGCAACTATATGAATTCAGATTGCAGGTGCCTACCAGATTTGAGAAAGAGAGGAGATTGATAGTGTTTGTAGGTCATGTTTCAGGGTTCTGCTGATTTTTGAAGAGCCCTCGGGAGTATAAATTTATAAATCAATTAACATGCTTTGTCCAATTGAGAGATCTAATAGCTGCATCTATATTTTCCTAGCATGGCAGGGTTATTAATCTACTGATTTTTTTCCTGGAGCTCATTTTGGATTCCTGAAAACAGATCAGTTAGGGACCCTTACAGTGATTAACCCTTAAAAAAAAAAAACCCAACCATACAATACTACATTCAGGTGTATTGAGTTATCACATAAATGCTATAGCAGAGAGATGTTCAGCTTTTTCCTGGATTACTGAGTTGGATGCTTCTGTAATTGTCTTGATATAAGTGTGTGGAGGAAGTGTGCTGCCATCGTTAGGCTTAGCAAGATTTTTTGGAACTTTTATCATTGTTATATTTCTCTCACAAGGGACTGTTTTCGTGCTGATATTCTCAGGAACTATTTTGTTCTATCTGAAATTTGGACAGGAATTAGTTCATAAGTTTTGCCAAGCTTAACTGGGAGACCTGATTTTCAGTTTCAGTGAAATGGTTGATTCATGTTAAAGGTTAGTGGTTGCATGAAGCCCGCTTAAATGCAATTATTAATAATTTAATATGCCATTTTTGTTCTTTATTTGAAGGTGCCATCTACTTTCTCTTGGGAATTTTTGTAATTGACAGGAAACAAGAGAGGGAATTAAGTCGGTGTGAATTCCAAGAGGTTAGTCTAACGGTCAAGAAAGTTTGTTCCTTTCATTGATTTCTTCAGTTCGAACCTTGGGATCACTTACCACATTTGTGATTTATCTTGGAATATTGGGTTTGTAAGGTATTCAATGGGCTTTAAAGATTAGTCAAAGTCCACGTAAATTGGTCAAAATACTTCAATCATAAAAAAGATAAAAAAAAATGTAGGCATGCCTTTAGTGGCCACCTATTTTACATAATGCGGTGTGGTATCAATGTTTTAAAACTTGGTCTGGCCCGATCGGATACATTGCATTATGCAATGTTTTAAAACCTGGCTTGATCCAGCCTGATCGGTTTAACTGGTTGGGGCTTTTGAAGAGAAATTGTTGATGAGTGTAATGGTGGCGACTGTTATGGATTTTCGCAAGTGTACGAAATCCTACAAGTAATAAAGTGTATGAATATGGATATCGAATCCAAGGAAATTATTATTATCAATTATCAAATTAAACTATCATATTACTATTTGATTAATCCAAATTGTATCAAAGAAAATCTAAATTAAATTAACAATTGAAATTGAAAGAATTGAAAAGAAAACAACTAAAATAAATCTTTGGGTTTAAAGCAAGATGACTAGACCTATAGCATAGATTTCACACTAACTTTTATTCATATGTATTGATCACTTGTGCTAATTTTATAAAGCACTTTTTAAAGGTCAAACCCAGTAAATTTACAATAAATTTATCTCGAACAATTATCAAATTAACTCTTAATTATTAACTTGAATTATCTCTAATCAGATTTAAACAATTGGAGATTATTACGCTTTATGAAGTTTATCAGAACCTCAAAAGTCGCAGTAACCTATCTCTAGCATTAGTTCAACCTATGGTTTTACTACCGTAGATCAACTAAGTATTATCTCTCGATTTCAACTTAGTCCATTAATTCATTCAATTTTTGGGCCCTTAAGAATAAAAAACATTAGGCATAATAATAAAATTTAGAAATAAATCTTAATAAAAATCAACATAAATAAATCACCACATAATCAATAAATTGGGCTACATCTTAGCTTTAGAAAATAAATTTAGCTCATAATAAACATAAAAGAAACAATCATCTTTATTAAAATAATCAACATGAGTTTGTAAGAAAGAAACAAAAAGAACTTCCCTATATTGTGAATCAAAGCTCTAGAAATTCTAACACTTTTCTTCTCTACAGGTTTTCCTTCTCTTATTCTCCCCAAAGAATCTCCTAAACAATGTTAAAAGACTTTTATTTGTATCCCAAAGGGTTATGGTTTTATTTTTCTTAATTCTATTTAGTTTAGGACTCTTAAACCTTATTTTCCTAATAAAAAACGGAAGAAAGATTTCCTACTGTCGTGACTGTGCCTTGACATTGTGCTGCGGCGCGATTGATTGTAGACAGTGTTGCGGCATAGTGACAATTTCCTCTTCTTTAGTTCAAATCTCGCATCATTCCTCGGCACTCCAAAGATGACAATTTTTTAGCACGATAACGATGGAATCTGAAGAAGTGGTAAACATATGAAATGTAGCCATTTGAATCAGCTTTCCAACAGTCAAAGAATCGTCTTAATCCGAGGTCTAAAGCTCTAGTTATTGTCTAAACACCGAGGCGTGCTCAAATTGGAGCGTAATCTATAATATCTTCTTTACTTCAAAACTTCATAACTTCTTCAATTCAACTCCGATTCTCAATCTATTTGTTTCTACTCATCACTCATTCCATTGCCGATATGATTCTTCATCCGAGCATAACATTTAGCACTAATAACCTAACAAACACTCAAACATATTTGTGATCTCATAAAAGACAATTATAAAAATATTAAGCAATTTTACCAAATTAAGTCTAACTTTTCACAAATAATCCCCATAAACTACTAAGTAAATATGTATTTTCAAGCTTTTATCAGCGATGGAATTGATTTTCGATAAGTAAATCGATCGAAAATCGAAAAAAAATTGGCGACAGTAACAACTAGCTTTTGTCGGCGATTAGCAAGGCTAACAGGAGTGGAGTGAGGTGGGTTTTGGTCGGAAGGAAAATGAGAGTATTTTCGAGGTGATGGGGAGGATTGTCGACACTGGCGTCAGTGAAATTTGATTGAAATCGAACCGATATCAACCAGATCTTGGATAGATTTTAAGAGGAATGAGCTCGAGGGACAATTGGAGTTCCATTTGAGGTGTCGTCGCTATTTGAACTATGTTTGCTAAATTTCAGGGACTTAATAATTATTTTTAAGAGTGTATATTTGATCACCGATTAAACTAGTCAACCTAAGACCAAGCAATTTTGCCGGTTTTACCTCGAGTTAGGTTTTAAAACATTGGCATCATGTACGAAATTTCAGATTTTCTTTTTCTTCCAATTTTTGTTTGGTTAGCTAAAATTTTAAACAGGCTAACGAAACAAGGGACCTCTACCAGTAATGGATTTTTCTTCCAATTTATTTACACTTCAATCCTCCAGTTTACATGCTTAAGAGTAAATGAAAAACAAGGAAAACCCAGCACAGTGTTTTGGGCAAAACACACTATTAACTACCACTAATGAATTTGATTAAAGACTAAAAAAATTGCTTACAGTTTTACATCGACAGTATCTCACAGCTGATACACAAGTTCCCTTCAAATCAGCGGTATTACTCGAACACTTAATATTCAGCTTCAGAATGATGCCAATCCCAAGTATTACAGCAAAAATGCAAAGCTGAAATTCATGCTCTGATTGAGACACAAAGCACAGATGATCCAACATATTTCAGATCTCCTCGGTTGTAAAACTGAATATGGTATTGTGTTAGGCAGCAACAACATTTAAAGAACTAATCAAAGTCTTAAGAAATTTACACATACTATACCTTATGAAAAGAAACGAATTAGTTGCATCTATTAGACAAGTTAGGCAGAAGCAGCAACTCTACTAGCTGAGTCATTTTTTAAATGCAAATATCGGCCTGTTAAATCCAGTTTTGCTGTCTGATAAGCCATCAGAAGTGATGACTTCCACCCTTCTAAATCCAATCTGCAAAAACTCAATCATGTAAGCATCTTAACATAAAACTCTGATAATATGGCCGGCATAAAATCTCCCTAAACCCTAAGTGTTTCATTCAGCAAACGACGTCAAACCTCAATACTGCCAAGTGTTAAAAGAACAAAAACATAATACATACCTTATCCAGAAGAATTTCCTGAAACTGCTCTGGATGGAAGACAATATTTTGATAATTGGTTGCAGTGGTCTGCACAAGTAAAAAGTGTCACTTCGTAAGATATATTTCACAACAAAACATAAA